CAACTAATCAAGCTAATTTACACTTAAACCAAGCTTAAAAACATAGCTTAAGCTATCAAAATTCATCCCCAATTTCTGCAAACTTTCGGACATCACAGGGGCAGCCAATCCATGGACTAAATTCAACAATTAAAGGGGTAAATTAGGACTTAGAGAAGCTGCCACATACCATAAATCCAGCAAGCAAAACCGGAGTGCAGATTGGGGAGGAGGCCGGCGGCATGTGCAGGGGAGAAACTCATGGATCTACCCAAAATTAAAGGAACCCAAGAGCAATTAAGGTAGACCCAAGTTAATTCAAGCAAGAACAGAGGGATTGGTAGCTGTTTCTTACCCAAAACCGGAGCAAATCACCCCCACAAAGCAGGAGCAGCCGGCGGAAGGACAGAGCAAAGCAGGGCAGATCCGGATTTTCCAGCAGGGGGAAAGAATTTCTGGGTTCTACATGTGTTGTAGAGCAAGAAAAGAAGGAGAAATCCAAGCTTTCTCATTAGTTTCTCAAGCATGGCTGGGTTCCCCTTTTTTTTTCTTTCGAGTGGCTGCAGCGGGAAGAAAGGAAAAGAAGAGCAGAATCGGGCAAGGCTAGGAAGAAAAGAAAGAAAGAAAAAGAAAAAGAAAAGAAGTCATCCTTATCCAAAATCTTTCCCTCTTTAAGTCCCTCAGCTTTTGAAATATTCACATTAGGCCCCAAAACAATACTTCCCTCACAAGTTAGTCCTTAATTTAATGCTAAAATTCCTGAAAATTTGGGATATTACACTCACCCCTCCTAAAAAGGAGTTTTGTCCCCAAAACTCAAATTGAGGACCATATCAAGTGGTGAATAGCTTCACACAATCCAAGGCAAATGCCCCACTAACTTTCTATGAACAGACATGGCTTACTATGCTTCCGCTGCGCCACTCTGATATCAAATCACAACTAATCTTAAAAAGCAGAACACTAATCACTTAACAAGATTTGCCATCAAATAAGCTACTGGAGGCTGGGGTAATAAGGAAAGCACAAGGAATAGAAATAAATCCTGTCAAGGCCACAAAAGAAACAGTTGTGGGGTTACGCTTTGAACCCAACACAAGACGAGTTGGCAAGAATGGCATGGATGTACAGATGAGTACAACAAAACTTTGAACTCTATCAAAGACGGATAAGCATCCAATGGATATATGGATCATAAATGAATGAACGAATGCATGGATGCCTTATACATTCTGCCACAAAACAAGGTTAACCCATAAGCAGGGTCATGTTTAACAAAGCAACTGGAATCAAGAAACAGATTTTGGCAATTAACAAGAGTTAAAAGCTAGGACCATCAAAAGACGTATAAGGATCTCAAGAATGGCAACAGAATAAAATCAATGGAAAATATGAATGCTTGGAAGAATATTAGAACACAAGAGTGCAAGGTAGAATGCCTCAAAAATTTGGCAACAAAACGGCATTCACCAAGAATCAAGATCACATTTAACCAAGCAATCAAAATTGAAAGACAAGAGTTAACCATGAAACAAACAATAGAATTCAAGGATTAAGCCCACAAAAGAGATTTCAATAATGACAAACAGAACACGGATTCAAGAGTAGATATAGCTAGGATGTCAAGACCTAGCACCTCAAGTACTAGAATTAATTAACAGAACAAAGCAATGGCTGGGATCAAGATGCCTAGAAGATTCATGTCTTCTAATCAAAAGGGCAAACAAAAATCCAAGCAGCTAGATAAAAGAATCATTTCTCTTGGAACAAAACTCTAGGGCATCAAGTACTTCAAAGATTACCCCTTCACCTCGTAGCTCATGGGGGCGAGGCTAAGCAGATTTACAATCAAGTCATCCTAGACATCCTAGAGTCAAGTCAAAGCTAGGACATTAAGGATACAGAGATTAACACTTGCAAGAGACAAGAATGAGGATGCCTCATATAGATATTTTCTGATAATCGTCACCCCTTCTAAAGAGGTGTCCATATGAACAAAATCAAAAATCAAGAAGATCAAGAAGTATACAGAAACAAGAACGAGCAGAATAAGCAAGATTTGAGCAAGAGCAATATACAGAATTTGAGCAAGAATCAGTGTCAGAACAAGAATGTTTCCAAGGACAACTCAAACTAGATTCCAAGAACAATGCAAGAATTAATTTCAAACAAGTATCCAGATAATGAGGATTTCAATAATCATTATCCATTTCTGGATTTCAGTTTCAAGAACAAGTACAAAGCAATATCAAGAAAAATTCAAGACGGATTTCAAGAGTTTCAAGCAATTTCCAAGTGTCAAGAATGTAGAGATTGGCAACAATAGAGAGTTTAACTTTATGATAGCTTGCCAATCTTCCTAAAAAAATGACAATTTCAATTGAATAATCACTGCTCTTGATTAACCAATACAGAAAAATGAGCCACATGAAAAGACCATGAAGCTCTAAATGGAAAAAGTGAAACTTCACTATAAGACTTTCAAAAGATAAGGAGCAACGGAATTACCAAGTTATCCAGCTCCTAAAACACATCTAGAAAAACACAAAGCATTGGCTAAAATAGCCTTGAATCTCTTGCAAAGTAGAGGGTTTACCCATCCTCCACTGGTCATGTGACAAACAAAATAAATTCTCCACTAGCTATGCTGTAGAGACTAACAGGATCAATAACAAAAGTTCTCTACAACTCCCCAGATTTCAAAATTGTGGCAAAAGAGCACACAAAAATTCTATTCACATAACAAGCCTAAACAAGTGCGGACTATCAAAAAATGACCAAGTTTCAAAACAAGGTCTTCAGGACATAACGGGCAAGATTACTTTCACAACTTCACACA